CAAAACCTCAACAGCAAAAAGCCAAATAACCCAATTAAAAAATGGGCAAAGGATATGAACAGGCACTTCACCAAAGAAGATATTCAGGCAGCTAACAGACACATGAAGAAATGCTCACAATCATTAGCCATTAGAGAAATGCAGATTAAAACTACAATGACGTATCCTCTCACCCCAACAAGGCTAGCATTAATCCAAAAAACACAAAATAACAAATGCTGGAGAGGTTGTGGAGAGACTGGAACACTTATACACTGCTGGTGGGAATGTAAAATGGTACAACCACTTCGGAAATCGATTTGGCAATTCCTTTAAACACTAGAAATAGAAATACCATACGATCCAGCTATCCCGCTCCTTGGAATATATCCTAGACAAACAAGAGCCGTCACACGAATAGATATATGCACACCCATGTTCATCGCAGCACTGTTCACAATAGACAAAAGATGGAAGCAACCTAAGTGCCCATCAATGGACGAATGGATAAACGAACTATGGTATATCCACACAATGGAATATTATGCAATGATAAAGAACAATGATGAGGCTGTGAAACATCGTATAACTTGGGGGAAGCTGGAACTTATTATGCTGAGTGAATTTAGTCAGTCACAGAGGACAAATACTGTATAAGACCACTATTATAAGAACTCAAGAAAAAGTTTAAACACAGAAGAAAACATTCTTTGATGGTTACGGGGATGGGGAGCGAGGGTGGGGGTTATTCACTAACTAGATAGTAAGAATGGTCTTAGGTGAAGGGAAGGACAGCACACACTACAGGGGAAGCCAGCACAACTGGACTAAACCAAAGCTAAGAAGTTTCCTCAAGACAATCAAATACTTTGAGAGACAGAGTAGCAGGGATGCAGGGTCTGGGGACCATGCTTTCAGGGGACATCTAGGTCAATTGGCATAACAAAGCTTATTAAAAAAGTGTTCTGTATCCTCCTTTGGTGAGTGGCGTCTGGGGTCTTAAAAGCTTGCAAGCGGCCATCTAAGATGCGTTAACTGGTCCCAACCACTTGGAGTAAAGGAGAACAAAGAACCCCAAAGACACAAGGAAAGTATTCGCCCACGAGGCAGAATGGGCCACATAAACCAGAGACTTCATCAGCCTGAGACCAGAAGTAGATGGTGCCCGGCTACCACCAATGAACGTCCTCACAGGGAACACGACAGAGGGTCCCTGATGGAGCAGTAGAACGATGGGATGCAGAACTCAAATTCTAGTAAGAAGACCAGACTTAATGGTCTGACTGAGACTGGAGGCGCCCTGGAAAGCATGGCCCCTGGTCTCTCTATCACCCCAGAACTAAAACAATTTCCGAGGCCAACTCTTCAGACAGGGATTGGACTGGACTGTGGGACATAAAGTGATACTTGTGAAGAATGTGCCTCTTAGTCGAGTAGATACAAGAGACCAAAGGGTCGGCTTCTGTCCAGAGGTGAGATGGGAAGGCAGAGAGAGTTAGAAACTTGTTGAATGTTCATGGGGATCAGGGGCGGAGGGGAGGAGTGTGCTGTCGCAGAAAGGGGTGAGCGGCTGGGGTCTCATAACAATGTATGTAAAAAAAAAAAAAAATTCTGTAAGGGAGACTAACTTGAAATGTAAACTTCATTTAATTACAACAATAAAAAAAAGTGAGCCTTGAGCATTGTGTTCTTTTAAAGAATTAGCTACATGAGATCAAATTTACAACAACAAATCAAAAGGTTAGAAGCTTAGGAGGCAGTGAATTTGTGTTGGTGACGTGAAATAATTTGGGAACGGATATTGAGAAAAGTGGCACAACTTGAAGAATGTAACCAATGGCACTGAACTGTACATATAGAAATTGTTGAATTGATGTATGTTTTACTGTAGTATATCTTCACCAAAAAAAAATTAAAAAGGCTCTGCTCAAATATTTTGTCTGTTTTGTTACTGAGTGTTTTCCTTATATTGAGTTTTGAGAGTGCTATGTATATTCTGGATACAAGTCTTCTTATCAAATATGTGTTTTACAGTATTTTCTACTGCTTTGTGCTGGACAGTTTGTTTTAACCTTATCTTTTTTAAAACAATTTTCCCCCTCTGACTTTCCTAAGAAGACAAAGTGGTTTATGCCCAATAAATTTAGGTATCTGACATGAAAAAAACTGCAGACCTGGGGTTCCCCAGAGGCTCAAAGCTCTCGTTGACAGACAGCTTCTGGTTAAGCTATGAGCTGGTTCTTTCAAGCTCTGAGGGTTAAGGAAGCTGTGCACATGTGCACCTCTAACTCTCTTCCCACTTGGTTCTTCCGCCCCTCTGGGGAGAGATATCCTTCTCCTTTCAGCTCTGTCTGTACAGGTGGCCAGGGCTACAAGTCCCTTCTTAATCTCAGAGCACAAGGCAGGCTGAGAAGAAAGTGGAAAGAGGGGCTGAGGAGAAGGCCCTGAGGGGACTGAGAACATGGGAAACTATCTGCCGAGGAAATGCAGGTGAGTGCAGGCTCCTTACAAGGGAGCAGGGGAGATGGGATGGGGCAATGCAACCAGAAACAGAAAAAGAAGGCCGCTCTTAGGGGTGAAGGGAATTGGGGTAAGGCACCTGACAAGTCTTAAGTGCCTACTATGTGCCAGGCACCATGTTAAAGTCTTCATAGGTTTTACCTTCTCAGAATTGCAATCAGCAGCTGGTGGAGGATAGCTAAAGAGCAGAAGAACTTTATTAAGAGAAGTTTACACATTAGGCTAAGGAGTCCTGGTGGTTAAAGCACTGGACTGCTAACCCAAAGGTCAGTGGTTCAAACCCACCAGGGTCTCTATGAGAGAAAGATGTGGCAGTCTGCTTCTGTAAAGATTTACAGCCTTGGAAACCATATGGGGCAATTCTTCTCTGTCCTATAGGGTCACTATGAGTCGGAATTGACTCGACGGCAGTGGGTTTGGTTTTGGGGTACACGTTAGGCTACAGTCTAAGAAGGAAAAACTTTCTGAGTGCATGAGCAGAGTATGTTCTCCTGGGCTTTTAATGCCCCACAAGGAGCTCAAAGACCTACGGCCCTTTGGGCCACTACTTTAAATTCAAAATAAAAAGCAAGCGTCCTGCCATCATGAGGCCTAACCTGGTGCACATTCTCTGCAACAGGTAAGCAGAGATCATCTAAATATGCAGAAATCTTGACTTAATACTTCTGGGCCTCAGTTTCCTTATTTAAAATGGGAATACTAATGTGATACCTACTTTGGAAAGTTCTGGTGTGTGTGATGCCAGCATAGAGCCTAACACAAGGTAGGGTTCAATAACTGGAACATAGTCTCAACTTTGGACCATCCTCCTTCCTGACATAAAAGTAGCAGATGTTAAAATTGGGTATCCAAAAGAACAAGGGGATCTCTGGGGTATAAGGTAAGGGTGCCTCTAGGGAGGTGAGCTGGCCAGGGGTTTCTTACAGAACTTCGTTTGGTGTCCCAGGTCTCAGCTCATGCTGCTGGCAGGTGGGACATGGGAAAAGGAGGTGACCTCAAATGCCACCTGCCAAAAGGAGGCTTGGGGATCCTGGATTGCCCCCTGACCCGTGCCTTCCTAAAACTCAGTGTTGTCTGAGACGTCTCCTCTCCGGGTCCTCTCCCTTCTGTTCCCTCGTCTACTCTAGCACACTTCTGTCGGATTGTCTAGATGTGAGCTCCTCAAATGTAGGAATGACTTCTTATTCATCTTTAATCCCTCATTCCTGGCCCTATTTCTGGCACATAAAAGGCACTCAGTAAGTGTAGATGAGTGATTAGAACACAAATAACTGTCTTAAGAAGAAAAGCAAATTGCAGATATGATGTGAGTGAGAAAGTAGTGATTAACGTTGCATATGTAACTTGGTTTTTTAAAATTTTGGTATGAGGGTGTGGGTTATGACAGTAATATGTGTTAGTTGTCAAAAATTTGGAAAATACAGAAAGTATAAAGAAGAAAATTAAAAACCACTGGTGATCACACTTATAACATTGGATGCATTCTTTATTTTCATTTCTGTATTTATTACCCATTTGTATTTCTTCATTTGTGAATAGCCAGTAATGTCTTTTGCCCATTTTTGTATTGCATCTTGGTCTATTTTGTATTAGTGACGGTAAAAACTATTTTCATATTGAAGAACTTGGCCCTTTCTCATAACTATTACAAAAAATATTTTTTCCAGTTTGTGTCTTGTTCTTTCCCAACTTTTTATAATTTGCTTATTATATTTTAAATGTAATGAAATCTAACAACCTTCTTTGGTTTCTACCGTTGCATTTATGCTCAAAAATTTTCCCCATCCCAAGATAGGACCAATACCCAACTATAATTTTTATGGTTTTATTTTTTTTACACTTAGCCCCACACATTCCATATATGGTGTTAGTATAAATATTTTTCCAAATAGTAAATCATTTGGCCCAGAATCTTCATTTCCATACTGATTTAAGTGTCTTCTTTAATATGTTTAAAAATCTCTTGTTTACTGGAATCTGATTTTTAGCTTCACACCTATCACCTGGTTACCATTCAGTCAGCACACACACCACATCATGTATTTCCATATCAAACTTGTTATAAAAAAGTGGGAAAATTATCACATATGCTACAGTGGCGCCCATGTCTTCAGGAGTGGAGTCCCGTGTCTTAGGGAAAAACTTTGGACTCTGAAGTCCAAACACCAGAAGCAAAACCAGCCTCTCCCACTCAGTGATTGTAGGCCCTCAGACAAGTCAGCTAACTTATTTTAGCCTCTGTTTCCTCATAGGTAGAATATAAGGTAATAATGCCTCCTGTGTTTATTCTGGGATTAAATGAAAAAAAAAAAAAACAGTTAACATTGAGTTGATTCCTACTAATGGTGACCCCATGTGTGCAGAGTAGAACTGTGCTCCATAGGATTTTCAAGGCTGTGATCTTTCAGAAGCAGATCACCAGGCCTGTCTTCTGAGGAACCCCTGGGTGGGTTTGAACCACCAATCTTTGGGCTAGCAGTCAAACACTTAACCATTAGCACCACATAAATTATTTTTAACTTATGCAAAATGATTGACATACAAAACCCATGGCCATCGAGTCGATTCTGACTCATAGCTACCGTATAGGACAGAGTAGAACTACTCCATAGAGTTTCCAAGGAGCAGCTGGTGGATTCACACTGCTGACCTTTTGGTTAGCAGCGGTAGCTCGCCATAGCTCTTAACCAGTGTGCCCCTGGGCTCTGACTGGCATACAGTGGGTGGTATTTAATTATTAGTTTCTCTGCATAACTCCACTGTCTGCAAAAGAAAAGATGATTAAACAGGAACCCAAACCAAATAATGAGTCAATTTGTTTTCTTTTTTAAATTCTTTTTTTTTATTGTACTTTAGATGAAGGTTTATAGAGCAAACAAGTTTCTCATTAAACAATTAGTATACATATTGTTTTGTGACATTGGTTGCCAACCCCATGACATGTCAACACTCTCCCGTTCTTGACCTTGGATTCCCTATTCCCAGCTTTCCTGTCCCCTCCTGCCTTCTCATCCTTGCCCCTGGGCTGGAGTGCCCACTTAGTATAGTTTTCCTTTATGGGCCTGTCTAGTCTTTGGCTGAAGGGTGAACCTCAGGATATTTTTTAAATTCATTTCTTCTTTTCCTTTTTATCTCATGTTCTCTGCCTTGGTGCTTTCTGAGAAAGATAGTGACTTACATGAGACAAGGCCAGTGCCCTTCACCAGACACCAAGATGATAATGATAGCCTCTCTCTACTGATGTTCTTAGGGTCATGATAAGGATTTCTTCACATTCAGGAAACAAATGATTTAGAATCAATCAGTCACACACGGCACTTGTTGGAGAAGGTTGGTGGGTGGGCTGTTGCTGTGGCAATGGAGAGAACCGCTGATCAAAGATATATTGTGGTCTATGCTTTAGAAGGGCTTTTTAACAGATGTGAGGGCAACAGAGAGAAGCTAAGGCGATTCCAGAGTTATAAATGAATGGTGAGGTGAGGAAAGTTGAAAAATTATGAGAAGAGTTGGGAAACCTGAAGAGGAAATACTTACTTATTTCCTAATGTTGAATTTTAGGTGGCAGCAGGACACTCGAAAAATACCTTGGAACCCGAGAATCCAAAACCCCAAAGTGGAAACATCCAGGTGAGGACTAACTCAACAAAGCTTCTGCCATCGTGGCCCAGGAAGAATGAAGTCTGTCGTGTCCTGGACTTCGCATGTCCCATAGCAGAGGACACCCGATTAGACCCAACATCAGTTGTAATGGTAGTAATGGTAGCCAGCTTGCAAGTAGCTCTTGATCCTTATGACTGCATGAGGCAACCATTGTAAGTGTCCTCATTCTATAGATTAAGAAACTGAGGCTCAAGGAGTTCAGAAATATTATTCCTGTTACTCAAAATCAATCATCTCCTTTTCTTTCACCCCTCCCCCATATCTTCTCACTGAGCCTGGTTTCTGAGCATTGACATGATCCAATACTTTCCTTCTGATGTTCTTCAGCAACAGAAAGAGGATATGTAAGCAAATGGCTTAAAGAACCCTGAATGTAGCCTGAAGAAGAGGAAGGGTTGCTGCAGTGCCCCTCAGGCCCAAAATCTCTGATGTTCCAAAGACCCTAGAGGCTGTCAGGACACTCAGCCAAACTGGCAGCCATGGCCAAGGTCACAGTGCAGTCATCCCTTTTCTAGTCAATGGAAAACTCATTGCAGCAGATAATTTTGAATGGTCTTTTCTAAAAGTGTTCAGACAGTAGTGTTGCTATATATATACCAGTTGCTGTGGAATCAATTTTGACTCACAGCAACTTCGTGTATGTCAGAATAGAACTGCACTCTATAGGGCTTTCAATGGTTGATTTTTTGGAAGTAGATCTCCAGACCTTTCTTCCTAGGTGCCTCTGAGGGGACTCGAACCTCCATCCTTTTGGTCAGCAGCTAAGTGTGTTAACCATTTGCACCACCCAGGACTCACTACTGATATATGTAGTACTTTATAAAGGGCTTTCACATTCAACCATGTAGATAGTTGAATGTGCTTCAAATTCAGAAAAATACCCAGAATGATATTTAGATTTCAACTTAGATGCCTGACTGGAGAGAGATCCCCAGCCCTTCTGCCAGAAGAGAGAGAACAAACCCTGCTTATTTAGTTATAGCATTGGGGTCAAGGTGGCAGATTTGATGACCTCCTGAACCAGTTAGAGTTGCTCTGTTCTTGACCGCTCATTTATTTGTTCTTCAAATATTTATCAGAAACACACTTACTATTGGCAGATGCTATGGCAAATACTGATGATACTTTCTGTGGTGAACAAATACATATGGTCCCAACCTCGTGAAGCTGAGATTCTAGTGTAGGATATAGACAAGTGAGCAGACCGTTATAGTATAAAACCAAAACCAAACAAACCCATTGCTGTCCAGTGGATTCCGACTCATAGTGACCCTATAGAACAGAGTAGAATTGCCTCATAGGGATTCGAAGCAGTGGGCTGGTGGATTTGAACTGCCTACCTTTTGGTTAGCAGCTAAGCTCTTAACCACTGCATAGGAGGAGAAATTCAAAATGTAGTGGAATCCTATACAATTATTGCCTAACCTGCATCTGAAAGAAAACATTTCTATAATGTCCATACACTTATACCTTGATTTCCTGGAGATAAAATTCTTGTGTGTCCTTCATCAAAAGGTGATCAAGTAAGTCACTGGAATTGGAGATTATTAAACCCTTTTCCTTTGCTGGGAATATAGCAGAAAGTCTCTTCCCTGATTAGGACTTGACAGTGTCACTTTCATCTTTCCGAAGGGCCAGTTAAACATCCTAGGAGGATAAAGTCGTTCCAGTAGGACAGGCGTGTCCAAGTTACTGAGGATGAATGCTCTCTTGGGGTCAAAAAAACATTTTCCAGAGAAGTGGCAAAGGGACGGGAGTCATCATAAAGCTGCCGAAACAAACCTTGTGATTTGCATCATCTCTTTGGCATTTTAGATGCTGGTGTCTCCACGTTGCTGAAGGGTGTTTCTGCCTTCCGTGGTGAGTGGAGAGTTGGTTTCAGATGTTATTTCCCTAAGTGTGGTTTTTAATGTGGTATTTGCTGTAAGATACTTGCAGTCCATGGCCACCACAAAACCTGTGGCTAGCCCAGACACAATCATCTGAATGTCACTCAGGGAAGGGACCCTTGAGTTTGGTGGGAAAAAGGAACAATGGTCACATGGGTGGTGCCCTCTCTTCTAACGGGAAAGCCTCAGAAGCACAGGTGGAACTGGTTACTGATGGAGAGAAAGACCTATAATCACACTGCAAATTCCAGAGTCTCCATGAACAGAAGCACACATTTCCGTCATTTGCACAGAGGATTTATAGCCAGGGTGATCATATAATTTATCAACCAAACTGGGAAACCTTTGAAAATGAAAGAGGTACTAAAAATAGCTAACAGTCACTAAGTTATTGATAACACCATTAACCAGGATGGCCTCAGCAAACCAGAACATTTGGCTATACTTCTTACAACAGATGACCTTGTCTCCTGAGAGGACAATTGGCTTCTGTTAGATTTATATTGTGTTTTTCCAGGAGGTCGTCTACACAGTGCAGTTACCTCTTGGCTCATCTGAGAGGTGTATGTGTGAGTGTTTGTTTGTTTGTTTTGGCCATCATAGATTGAGAGTGGAATTGAAAATAACCCTGGTTTCTTCATGTACATGGTAAAAAAGAAATTAATATGTTGTCAGAAAAACTCTCCAAAAACTTTCCTATAATATTGCCATAGTTCTCCATCTACAAATCAATTCCATATCAGACTTAGAAAAAGGGGAGAGAGACAGACAGACAGATATATACATATATAGATAGATACATACATAGATACATACACAGATACTTCTATGTATCTCATAGAAGTAGAGAGAGAGAGAAAGGACAGGAAACAAAAGTGTAGATTTCTACTTGGTTCCATCCTTCATTTTCCTTTTTTCCTATCCACTAATTTCTCTATGCTGAAGGAAAGGTGATAAAAGGCCTATAGCTTTAACAAAATTAAAGGGTTAAAAATAAGTTTTAATCAGGTAGCATAATTTCCTTTGAGGGTTTCTGAATATCAATGCAACCAATTTATTTTCCTTTTCTTTTACAGGAAAAAAATACACATTTTTAAAGCAAGACAAGATTCCCCAAAGGAAAGTAAGTCATTGATTCCCCATCATTTTCTCCTCTGATAGACTTACATTTCCAAACTTCTCTGTGCTCCTATAGTCTCTTGGGCATATTTCTAGTCTAATAACTTATGCCTTTTGCTCAGAATTTATCTAATTGCATGACTTTTCTTCTCCTCTAGACTGTGAGCTCATTGAAGCAGGGACTGGCTTATTACCTCCATACTCCTCCGTTAGTTCCTGAGGTCTGACGGCTGAAGGGTTAACTGGGAACAATAAATGCAAAGAGTGGAAGGCCAGTGTCAGGACCTGCAAGGAGGCCAGTGCAACTGGATCACAGAGAGCACGGGGGAGAGGAGCAGGGCCCTGTGGCCAAGTTAAGGATTTGGGTGTTAGTCTTGAGAGCTGCAGGAAGTACGGAGGGGCCGGTAGGATCAAGTTGACATTAAAGTGATCTCTCATTGCAGCGCGGAGGGCGAATAGCAGCAGGGAATGGCAAGAGCCAGAAGACTGTTCAGGAGGCCAGTGACAGATGGTGTGGAGGTGAAGGAGAAAGAGGGTGGTGAACAGTATCACATGTAAGAGAGATAATAAGAAAGCAGAAGACTGGGGACAGAGTTTTGCCTTTGCCCTCCTGAGTTTCAAGGTGAAAGCTTAGTTCACTCAACTCTGAATCTTAACTACTAACTTGGTTAGGTATGTAAATGAACAATACAGCACCCACTACAACCATTTCACCCAGGAGAATTGTGAGTCCCAGGAAACCCCAATCTCCAACAGAGCAAAACATGGTAGAAATAAGACCCCTAAAGCTGAAACTCTGCAGACCCTTTTCTTGGCAGCGATAATCTAGAAGTCCTGGGAGCTTGTGGAGACTGAGACCTGGGATGTCATTGCCAAAGGAATGCAAATCCATGCACAATACAGTAGCCTGCAGTGACACCCCCACCCCCTGTGTAGGGCCATGTCACGAGGCTTCCGTGTGCAAACACAGGCTGCTTCTGTGAGCTAGCGTGTTTGCCAGGGCTAACAAGTGTGGCCATTTGCCTCTTAGCTGAGTGGCCAGAGTCAGTTGTTTTTAAGTAAATTGACTTGGGGAAAATGGGCCTGCTTTTATTTGTATCAGCAGGGACAGGAATGGGAATGTCCAGCTCAAGAGTTTCTTTCTCTAAAAGTGTTTCTTGAGCACCAACTCCCACACCACCACCATCTCCCGCAGTAGGATGACACCTTCCTGTCTGCGCTGCGGACCTCTCAGGGCCCTTGTCCCTCTCTATGCTAGCCTGGGAGCCCTGAGGTCAAGGACTGCTTCTCATTCGTCTTTGTTTCCACATTGCTGGTACAGAGTAGGCATGCAGTAAATTCTGTGGAAGGAAGGAAGGAAGAGAGGAGAGGAATGGAGAAAGGAAGGGAAAGGAGGGAGGAAGGGAAGTGCCATTTCCTGTCAAAGAGCCATGAGCACGTCTCCCTCTCAGCTGCAGCAGCACAGGTCAAGCTGTCTCTTGTCTAGATGGGCCTGTCACTCCCCAGGACATGCTGGAGAGCAGCGTCACCTGCTGAGGGTAACCTGAGCTGTTCCTTGGCTCTCCAGTTGCTTAAATTCTAGTCCCCCCTTCTTCCATACTCAAATCTCCCCATGACCTGAAATTCACTGAGTGGTTGTTTTTTTTTGTTTTTTGTTTTTTTTTCCTTTCTCCAGATGAGGGAATGCCAGCTGTTCCCACCCAGGTAAGGAGAACACCACTGAGCCTTTTTCTGAGATGACAGTAACAACACAGATACCCAGGATGCCAGGGGAAGTTGCCTCCAAGACCCCTTCTGACACTAACAAAGAAGGAATTTCAGATGTCAGTACTTGTGACCCAAGGGGCCGTGTACAAGGGCCACCTCTGTTGTGTAATGTATTGAAGGGAACCAACATTTACTGAGAACTTAGTTTATCCCAGGCGGTAGGCTGAGCACTTCACATGCATTTTCTCATTTAACTGCCCAACTATCCTTTAAGATTGATACTATGAGTTTCCCCCATTTTACAGATGAGAAAACTAAGGGGTTAAGTGAACTTTCCAAGGTCAGACAGCTGACAAGATGGCAGAGCCAGGATTCAAAACCAAGTCTTACTTCAAAATCCATGCTCTTTCCCTTACACTTTGCTGCCTTGTTTTTTATCTCCTGAGATTCCAGCTTGAATTATATCTTCCCTTATTTCTTTTTTAAAACAAAAATATCTCTAAAATGGGTGGTTAAATGTCATATCCCAGTCACATTAAGGTGTTATCGGGTTGTTCTCTTTTGTAAGACTGGACTGCCCACAGGGCCCTGAGACATTGGGGACTATCCAGGGTGGTCAGGGTAACTCTAGAGCATGAGTAAGGAGCAGATGCCTGGGAAGGCTGTAAGCTCTGGACAGCACAGGAGCTCTGTCTGCCTGGGGTAGGGTTGGGGTGGGGGCAACCAATTAAGAAAAATGACCAGGAGAAAGTGGGAGGTGGTTGTGGAAGACAGACTTTACCCAGGGTCTGCCCTGTGCTGAGACTGAAGTATAAAGGGAATGGCAAGAGGCCAAGTCTTGAGATGGGCTCTCCTTTGGACCAGCAGGAAGATGGTGACCAGACATCTGCAGGGGAGCTGTGCTACACCCTCATCAATCACAGGGGCATCAGGAGAAGGCCTTCGGTGAACTTTGCTGAGGAGTACTATGAGAATATCTCCCTCCCGGCTGAGAGGCCCAGTGAGTCCTTGAGAGGAACTGAGACCGATTATGCAGTTCTCCATGTGCCTCTCACCCCTAGGAATCCACCTTCCACAGAAGCCGAATATGAACTTCTCATGCCTGGTAGAATCTACTCTCACTTCCTGCAAAAGCCACGTCCACTTATGCCCCCTTCTGAGACTCGGTTTTCCCATTTATAGTAATGTAGGTGGACCAGAATTTGTTTAATGGTAGCCGTCCAAACAGAAGTAGGGAAGGGCAGTCTGGTTGAAGCAGACATGGGCACAGAACTCTCCCAGCTTACCTTGCCCCACAAACCCTTCTATAAGCGTCACTGCAGAGCATGGTTTGCAAACCACAGGGCCTCTCAGATCCTGCTCGACGTCCAGTATTCAAAGACAAACTAACTATCCTGAGCACCACTGTTTGAGAATATAATGACCATCCTTGGTTCTAATTGGTTTAGGAAATGGACAGCTCTACTCAGTGGTGGGAGGGGTTTCCTGGTGCCCTACAGGTTGTGCACATCACAAAGAGTTCTACTCCTCAGTACTGGTTTTCCTTAGAAAATGTCCACACGATTGTCCTGTGAAGTCACAGGAAGCTTTCCTCATGATACTAAGTGAGCCCAAGTGGGAGTCTGTTCACTGTACACATGTCTGTAGACGCAGGCTCCTCACTGTAACCTTCCAGCTCGACCCCAAGGCGGCAGCCTGTGGTGTAACTCTCATTCCATGCCTCTGTGCAGCGACCTCCTGCATGTCTCTCCTATGATCTGTTGGTCCCAGTGGTTTGCTTGATTATGTGGACTAAATCAAGAGGTTCCGAGCCAGGTTGTCATAATTTTAACCCATGTGTTTAATTTTTTTTTAAAACTTTCTATTTCTTCCTAGAAATCTTAGTAAGAAAATCATAGCATCAGAGAGTGACAGAGTAGGAGGGCCTTTGGAGATTCTCCAATCCCCCCCTCCTTTTTTTTTGACTCAGAGAGGGTAGTTTGCCCAATGTTACATGGCAAGTTAGTGGCCAAGCTTGGACTAGAACCTGCATCTTCCGGCTTCCAGTTCAGTGGTTTTCCAATATACTACAGAGAATAGCCTCTACTATATGGTAAATGTATATATTAAATAATATGCTATGTATATGGAGCCCTGGTGGCACAGTGGTTAAGAGCTCAGTTGCTAACCAAAAGTTCAACTGTTTGAATCCATCGGGGTCTCCTTGGAAACCCTGTGGGACGGTTCTACTGTGTCCTATAGGGTCACTATGAGTTGGAATCGACTAAACGGCAATAGATTTATTTGGTTTGTACAGGGCTATGTATAAAATATGAATAAAATGTCCACATGGAAAAATAAAACATATGCAGACGTACACACTTTCTCTAATGAGCACTCCTATACATGCAATTAGGGCTCCTCGTCTTTTCTTCATTTCTTAGAAGTATGTCTATTCTCTAAACCAGTGATCCACAAACTATGGCCTACAAGCCAAATCCAGCCCACTACTTGTTTTTGTAAGTTTTACTGCAGTACAGCCATACTCATTTGTTAGATATTGTCTGTGGCTGCTCAACCACGGGAGAGTTGAGTAGTTGTCAAGAAACCAAGCTGTTGTTCTTGCGTGCTGTTGAGTTGATTCTAACTCATAGCGACCCCATGTGACAGAGTAGAATTACCCCATAGGGTTTTCTTGGCTGTAATCTTTACAGATGCAGATTGCCAGGTCTTTCTCCCATGGAGCCTCTTGGTGAGATGGAACTGCCAACCTTTCCGTTAACAGCCGAGCAATTAACTGTTGCACCACTCTTTGGCCCTTTACAGAAAAAAGTTTGCAGACCCCTGCCCTAACTGAGCATACTTTGAGCTAAACTTTAGAAAATAAAAATGTGTTGTGGTCATTGATGTGAATTCCTAAGAGCTGGTACCAACAAGGAACTATGAAAACATTAAACCACAAATCAGATGTGTGAGACAAAAAACAGTTAGTAAATTAGAATGTTCCCGCATTCACATCTCTCTTCTCAACTGGCTGTTTTACTTAACAGCCAGTCCTAATTTATACCAGTTTCCATCAAGTCGATTCTAACTTACGGTGACCTCATGTGTGTCAAAGTAGAACTGTGCTCCATAGGGATTTCAATGGTTGTGATATTTTAGAAGCAGATCACCAGGCCTTTCTTCTGAGATGCCTCTGGATGGATTTGAACTGCTAACATTTTACTCGCTGAGCACTTAACCATTTTAGCCACCCAAAAACCTGTTGCCATCGAGTCATTTCCGACTGATAGTGACCCTATAGGACAGTGTAGAATTGTCCCATAGGGTCTCCAAGGAATGACTGGTAGATTCAAAGTGCCGACCTTTCGGTTAGCACCTGAGCTCTTAATCACTGCACCACCAGGGCTCCTTTAGCCACCTAGGGACCCCAATTTAGGGATGATAAAATAGAAGTTTGTCGAGACAAGGAACAGATGGATTATGTGTTTAATTACTGCTTTGTTTCCAAAGATAACCAGCGCTAAATAACTTTGTGATCTGAAATGTGGCAAGTGCCTAATGAGAATAAATCTAATGGCTTCAGATTGGATGTGTCAGCATAGTTTTGCTGAGATTTTAACCAAAGTTGATGGTCTTCAGCTAAGGAGCCAATTATATCTTGGTATCATATCCTTTGCTAATTTCTATTTTTAGCAAAATTCCTTTACATGGAACCTCAGCTTTGACCTTTGGCCAGCATTCACTCATGTTCAGAAGGAGGTATGCGTGGTAGCAGTCAATACTGTGCAAGATACCTTAGAGGAAAGAATGTGGACAGTGGTGTCAGATCATCAGCGATTACAAACCTGGTTCTCTCTTCCTTGCTCTGTGACCCTGAGTATGTTACTTGGATGCGTAGCTTTCTTGCCCGTAAATGGGAGGATTACATCTAACGTACATAAATCATCTATCACAAACCTCGAGTAAATCATTTCAGAAAACAAAGAGAAGTAAAGCTTTTTATGGTGTATGGAGAAAAACATGATGTTTCTGGTTATCTGGTCTACAAAAGTAGCCTGCAGTGGGCAGGCATTGCTGAGCCATTCAACTGTCTTCCCAGGGAACCATAAACATTGAATTGTTTGGGTTTTTAGGCTGGGATTTTTCACATGGATATCAGACTGCAGTAGAAGCTGATTGGTTTAAATATGTGTAGCACAACATGGTAAGTTATATTTGTTTGAGTTTTAACTTGTAAAAGTATTACCTGTCCCAAACAGTATATGCATGTTGACCAAGAATTTATTGGGCATAAAGGCCTACCTAAAGAAAGTTTTTCTTTTAATGAAATTTAGACAGACTATGAAAAGGAATTATTTTGGAGCAGGAGAGCCATATGGAAGTGCTTCAAAATGCCTACTATGTCTGCATGTAATGCTGATCCTGTTCCCCATCGATTTCAGGATTTCTTGTGAAAGCTATGAAACTTCTTCCCAGAAAATGACCATTTGTGTACACACACACACACACACACAATTTGTATACAATTTCAAGGGTTTGGGGATGCAACCTCTCGGTTAAGAATCTCTGGTGAAGAAGCTGAGGCTGAGGATGTAAATTATTCTCTAAAGTCATAAATGTAACCAGGAAACGCCCCATCCACCCACCCAATGCTGGCCATAACCTGCAAGCAGCCCAAGTTCACAGGAGATTTGCACATTCTGTACAGCAAGTGCAGCCTCTGTGGTTTCCTTTTTACATCCATACTAGCATCTATAAATAATCTCTTATTCTGTGAATAAATTCTTATTCAGAACAGATAAATATAGGAAGAAGGCAAACACAGGTCAGGAAAATCTACTGTTGACCACAAATAAGTTCAAATGCTGACTTTTTAAAACAAACTTGCATGACACGTGCTTCAGATATTCTCAGGGATGGAAGGGCATAGGCAGAAGGGAGCAGATGAGTTTCTGGGACTCCACAGGAACTTTAGAGAAAATGAGATTTTGTTTATGTTTACTTGACTTTGTTCTTTCACAAGCTCGGCTTCTTTGGTTCAGAAAGCTGCTTGATCTGAGTGTTCCTTGGTTCTGTGAACTATTAAATTGGTTAGTGGAGAATGGAATTAACTCCCATTTTCATAAAGAGGGTTCTTTTGCAAGGCACTTAGCGAAACACTGAGTGGCCGTTAACATCTCAGAGAGTCTTCTAGAGTCTGCTGGTCAAGGCTCACAACTTGCCCTTCCTTCCTGGCCACTCGTGCTCCATGTGGATACTGAGAAGTCAGCCAAGCCTGAACTGAGCATGACCTTGAGGGGCCTAAGGTGCCTGCCAGGCAACCATCATCCATGGTGGCCCAGTGGGCTGGGCTTTGCACTAAGAAACTGTAGGACTTTGGGCTGGTCCCTTCACCTCTCCAGGCTTGGTTTTCCGACTATAAGATGAGGGGGCTGCCTTCTAAAGCTCCATATATGGAGGGAAAGAATAAAGCATGTCTGTGGATAAAGTTGCAATCAATGCAGTAGTATTGCAAGTTAACTTACTTAAAACCATGAAACAGCAGTAACAGCAGAAAAAGAAACAGATTTGTCTCATTTTTCTCAGCATTAATCAACTCTGAATAGGGCAGAGACCATATGCAGAGTCCACAGATAGAAGAAAAAGTAGAGAACTTGCACCACATCTAAAGAACATGAACACGTGTGAAGGAAGACAGATTTGCTTATCAAATCCCCAAGTGTTCTAGGGTTCGGCTTGAGTCCTACTTCCTATGTGAAGCCTCCTCCAGTTAGACTATGCTGATGGCCTTTTCTCTGGCCACCTACAACCCTACGGTTTGGCTTCATTTATTTTTAACACCACTGGGTTTTTTGTCTTGTTTTGCTGTTTCCTGTTTCATCTTTGCAGGGCCTGGCTCCTAATATAACCAGCAGCTTCTTTTATTATTGTCTTATTTTTCTTTGGTAGCTCCTAAAGCCTTCAGCAAAACACAGCATTAAAAATACATATAGAAATGAATTAAATTGAAAGACAAAAAAAATTGGTCTTGTGGATAGAATTTTTGTTGGGGGAGGGGAAGAGTGCGTTGATCCACCAGTACCCACTGATTGCTATCCATGTCTAAGTAACTTGCAGAAAAAAGCAATTTTTCTTCACAAATCCTTCAATTATTTCAGATATTTGTTGAAATCTTACTGTGCACCAGGCATTTTGCTCATCATTAAGATGTGTGATGGCCAATAGCTTCATCTCCAGTACAAGTACAGATGTTAAGTGCCATTTGCCCAAACACTTCAGAATGCTTTAGTCACAGAGGTCAGCTCTGTCCACACCACACAGGCAGAGAAGTCACTACGGAAAGTCCTCTCTATGACCTGCAAAGTGGTCAAATGCTGAGACAAAGTACTTGCATTGAGACAGTTGTTGTTATGATTGTTGTTACATTGTTGTGAGGTGCCATTGAGTCATTTCTGACTCATAGTGACCCCATGTGACAGAGCAGAACTACCCTACAGAGTTTTCTAGGCTGTTTGCCAGGTTTTTCTCCGACAGAGCCGCTGGTGGGTTCGAACTATCCAGCTATCGGTTAGCAGCTGAGTGCTTAACTGTTGTGCCACCAGTGCTCTTTGCACTGATACAAAGTACTTGCATTTTGGTGTTTTCGAGGGGAGAAAGGAAAAATAAAACAAAGTTCTATCTCCAGATATGAACAGGCCCTTCCTACCAGCTACAGGCCCTTTCTGATACCTGGTCCTGTCAGGAAGGGACCTTGGAGACTATGGAAGGGGTGGAGAGCCTCTCTCTGCTCTCCCTGCTCTCCCTGGAGCACAGAGAGGAGAACTCAGCTCTATCTTGTTCACTCAGAAGAGAAGCTGCCCTCAGGGAAAAGAAAAGCTCACTTCCAGCATCGTTTACTGCAAGAATATGCCAGCATAAGGCATGCCCTTGAAGGTCGACACCTACGAAGCAAATATGAGTGAGACAATGCAGACGCAAAAACAATTCACAGCAAATGTCTTTAAACCGTTCTTTAAAGTTCTTCATTATCTTCTAAAAAGTACAAAAACACTACAGCTCACATTTAGCATGCAAAAAATAAAGAGGAAGGAGGAAAATTCACCGGTTTCACTAGTTGAGGGAACTATCTTTAAAAATGGGACACTGGGTTACAATAAGTCTGTCTTTTAGTTAAATAAGAAAGTCAAGTCACACTGTCCACAGCCCTGTGCCATAAATATCTCAGGACAAATCTGAGTCATACACCTAGCACAGGTTTGCACACAGCTGCCCCTCCCACTGCCTTCCACCCAAGGCTAATCCAACAAAGAGATGTGGCCTAGGAATCTTTCATTCCATGACCACAGAACACTTCGCCTGGAAAATCACCAGCAAAGAAATTTCCCCAACAAAAATAAGTACTGTGCTCCCTAATGACAGGCAATTCTATTCCTGTACATGACCAATAAGCAGCCCTGGTGGCATAATGATTAAGTGTTCGGCTGATAACTGAAAGAGCAGTGGTTCGAACACACCCAGTTGCTCCTCGGGATAAAAGACCTGGCTATCTGCTCCTGTAAAGATTACAGCCTAGGAAAGCAATAAACCCAGTGTCGTCTAGGTGATTCTGACTCATAATGACCCCATAGGACAGAGGAGAACTGCCCCATAGGGTCTTCCTAGGAGTGGCTGGTGCATTCAAACTGCTGACCTTTTGGTTGGCAGCCTAGCTCTTAACCACTGCGCCAGGAGTGCAGGAAACCAATACAGGCACTAACAGTCCACCCACCCCCAAAATGATCTGGCATTAAGCTTCCAATAGTTCAAAAGGAGAGTAGTTTTCTCCTTGTTTCACAACTATCTTTAATAAGATATATAATATCTGAAGACATTGGGTCCTACAGAACTCTGTCGAAGCTAGGCAATAAAAAGACAATGTGTAAAATCTCTAGCAAATGTTAAGCCGCCTTAGTGATTCCTAATGGAGTTTATGAAAATATAAATGGGAGACGACCCAAAATGATAGTAATATGTTCAAAATTCACAAGGAACCATGTTTCCAAAATAGGTGCTCAAGAGTCACAGGAACATTGTGGAGATGCAAAATAATTACTAAGCGCATGTCTTTTTTCTGTAGCAATATATTACATCCATAACACGGCAACATAGGTTAATGTGCTTGAGACTCGTTTGGCTTGCTGGGATGTCCAGCTCTAGGTGATGGAAGTAGACACAGAACTACGCTGCTTATGTGAAGCGCTTCCGTTTCCTCACTGCCTTGCTTAGACAAAGATCAAACATAACGGGATCAGTGAGCAGGTTTCAGTGAGTGATTGGCTCAATTCTCCTGCTCATGGGGGTTTATGTTACTCCCGTCCTCTCCCTCCACAGACATAGGTTAGCAGGCTCCCCCAGCAGTGCACCGCCTGGCACTAAAGAGAAAGTGTCCACGTGTGGGTGCAGGCAGCCAGGGCTCAAGGAAAGCAGTGACCACCCACCCACTGGGGCGGTATTCAGGCGCCATTTTGCAGAACATGGAACTAGAGGGCGCCCTGTGCAGAATCAGGAGAGAGAGGTCCGTCCCCACTCGTCTAGTCATTGCCAGGTCTTTCCATGTAAATTCACAGAATTTTTCCTGTAAAATGAAATGAATTTTCTTCATCTCCAAAACTCGGTGGAGCTCTGCTTTCAGACACAGATCGACCTCCACCACTTCATTCTGAAAATACAGACGAGCAAAAGTCACTAATTTTTGAAAGCACGCTGGTTTTACACACGTAATGTTTTTATTCTGTTTCACTGAGTTTGAACATAAAGCCTTATGTAAAACTGGCATGTTGGTAAATTCCTAACAGAGAAAGTTAGGAACTTCATTCGGAGCGCACACACACACACACACACACACACACACACACACACACACACACACAACTCTGAATACTTTTCAAAAGGCAAATAACGTTTATTATTTGTGTATTTTTGGCATAGCGCATGATACCTGAGTGTCACCAGCATAAACACCCATTCTCTCGCTCTGCAGTGACACATTATGACTTTTCTCACTGCCCTTCTCACTCAACTGCTGGGACTCTGCCTGCTGCTGCCCACAGCTCCTAATTTGCTTCTTTCATTCACTCACTACTCTTCACTGGGCACCACTAACACACCAGAGAATGCTTCTGATATATTGTGGATGAGAACATAAAATATCCAAGATTGCCGGCATCATGGGCTAAGTACGAGCTGATACGCCTCCAAGTGAGGAATCAGAAGTGAAAAATGAGAAGAGATCAGAAGTAAAGGACAAAGCTTCAGTACAAACGCAATGGAAGGACTTTTCAAAGGCTTGAAGTCACTTCACCGCCCCACTTTCCTTTTTGCCAGGTTTTGTGCCAAGTGTTAAAATTCTCAGAACCTGACAAATGCAGTGTTTGCCATATTTATTAAAAAAATATATAAATTTTTGTTCTGTTCTGAATTTTAAGAGTAGATGAATAAACTATTTTTATAGCTTTTAAGGAAATTAATTAATGTGCCTTTTTATGCCCCTCTCTGGTTAAGCACTTGGCTACTAACTGAAAGGTTGGCAGTTCGAACCCACCCAGTGGCTCAGTGGGAGAAAGACCTGGTGATCTGTTATTTATGGCATGACAGCTTAGAAAACTCTATGGGGCAGTTCTACTCTGTCACATGGGGTTGATATGAGTCCTAATCAACTGGACGGCACTCAAAACAACATCAATTTCTTAATGGACTCAGTGGCCTTCAACAGAAAAAAAAAAAGGTTATCCCTCTTGGGATAATTTTTCAACAATTTAGCTATACCCTTCATTTCAAATTCTTCTACACTTCTTTTGTGAAAACTACAGTGTTTCTTTGACGGTTGCTAGTGATACTGTGAACAAGTCTTAAAATGTGGGTAATTGCGACAAGGAAAGACTTAGCAATCCTCAACTTTATACTTTTATTATTTCTTCCAAGATTTATTCTCCAACTACTCTGTCTGGTCATGGGGGCAGAGGCTGTGTAACCTCCGCAGAGCCTGAAAAATCACCTCACAAAAAACCTGTGCTGACGAGCGAATGAATGAGTGGTTTGACACAGCACCAAGTTATCAAAGTTGCCAAACCAAACTTTCGGTGCCCAGTCTGATCACTTGTTTATCGTCACAGCTGTCTCCTTTACTTGCTCGACTTACCAAAGAGTGAGAAGGACGTTGGATCAAGCCCCAGAGTGTCACAACCGGAAATGTTCTGATCCTGGAAATCCTGTAGCAAAAGGCCCAGCACCAACTCTTCACTCATCATGTACTTCATAAAATTGGCATCTTCCGACGGAACCCCAAATTGCAGGTGGTAAGTTATTGTGGCATTGTCACCACTGAAAGGTAAATCAAACAGGCAGTGAACCATACATAGCAACACGAGAAATCAGTGTGAGCTGTAAGATTTTTTAGTTCAGCATGTTCTTCAAGTACAACATAGCAGGGAGGGCCGTAATAGAAGAATCCTCTCCCATAGTCCCATCCTAGCCTCCTCCTTCCACCCAGAACCCCTCAGGGGTCCACTGGGAGAGACATTCAAGGGCGAGAAGGGGCCTAGCTGTTGTCCAAGGAAGACCCAAGGCTTGGCACACACATTGTCTACCCAGCCTTTGCCTTTTATCCCTAGGGCAAGCCAGGTAAACCTGCCCTTTTCTCCTCACACCTTCCTTTCTCCATATTGTCACCCTGCCCCTTCTCCCTGCCCCACAAGTGTGTGTCAGAGCTATTCAGCTTAACCAGGACTTTATTTCACCTATAAAAATGTTTAAGGTAAGACCCCAAAGCATCCTTCGCTGTGTCCAGAACTCATAACTCCACAAATCATACCTCCCTGCCTGGTCCCCAAAGTTTGGAACATTTTCTGTCCCATTTCCAGCTCCAGAGGCCCCTAAGGCAGGAAGACCAAGCTCTGTAACTCACAGTAATGTGGCCTAAGGAAATGAAGTTTTCATCTCCCTAGAACTTATCTTTCCCATTTCCAGAATAAAAATAATCATACGGCTGCCCTCATTTAATTAGTAGCTTATCTCGCGAGTTAAATGCTTCTTCAACATTTAGGTTTTTCACAGTTATCCTATTACTTTGGTTCAAGGTGGCCGAGATTAAGAACCAGCAATAAAATAATTAACAGGTGGCCACATCTGGGACTATCACCCCAGGGCAGGTTTTACATAACTTTGCTCCTGCAGTGGACAGGCAAGTAGCTCCCCTTGTGGCCAAAGGTCACCTAGGCCAGTATTCACACATTGAGGTGGCTGTCAGTTCAATTAAGAAACTCTCACAGGGCCAAGAGAAATCCCTGGGCAGTGCAAAGAGTTAATGCGCTCAGCTGCTAACCAAAAGGTTGGAGGTTCAAGTCCACTCAGAGGTACCTTGGAAGAAAAGCCTGGCAATCTACTTCTGAAAAATCATCAACTGAAAACCCTGTGGAGCACAGTTCTACTGTGACACATGTGGGGTGGTCATGAGTTGGAATCAACTTGGCGGCAACTGTTTCTTCTTTATTTTGGTTTGTTTGTTTTTAATGGCCAAGAAGTGTGCCAAAACCTGTGATTCAGATGAATAATGCACTGTCTGGACTCTGGAGAAACTCACGGTTTCAAGGATGCCAGTTGTAAGTACTGCAGCCTGGCTGAAAACTGCACTTTCAGATTCTAATCTGGTTACCCTAATTAACAGGTGTCCTTACTCGTTCCCTGTGCGCCACCCTCTAATTAACACTAATGATGGGCAACACCTTACTGGCCTGCGCTCCCACGGCCAGGACCCGGACGGGGCTTATGAGGAGGCCCAGAAGCTGTCTTTCAGGAGACAGGTCAGAAGCCAAATGAGAAGAGCAGGGTGCATAATCCACCTGGATAGCCCAGCCTCCTCCAGCCCTGTCAGATCATCGGGGGATTTACGTAACAGATTTACGTAACGGGGGATTTTCAGGGAAGCAGTGAACTGGTGGGCTGCGTCTCCACTGCCCACCACTGGAGCAGGTCTGGCAGCCTATGAGCCAAAGGGCACTTTTCCCAGGCTCCTGCTGGACTGGGTGCCACTCGAGGATGCCAAGGACTCGGCCGTCCCTTGCCCATGTGTGGCAGCAGATGGACCTTTTGGAGGCAATGGCTTTTGTTTCTCAGTTCAACATTTTAGAAACTCTTCCTGGACTTTTTCAACTGAAACAAAAATCTTTTCCAGATAGAATTTCTTTATCCAAAATACTAAAATGCCTGAGTTTTTCTTTCAAATAACTTTTAAAAACAGCATCTCTAACATTAAGTCTTGGCCAATTTCTAGCCACGTTTTACTCAGTTTTCTGACTGAGTTTTCCCAATGCTGTGCAATCCCAGTTCCTCTAGGTCCACAACCCAAGGCCGGATTCTTGGACAGACCCTTAAAGCTCCGAGGGTCTTTCCTCTCTCAACTCTGCCCAGGTCTCTGAATTACAAGATGGAAAAGAAAAGAATGTTGTATCTGATCATTTAATCATTTTAGGCACTTCTCCCTTCTCTACTCTCATTTTAATACCAGTGCTATACGATTAAAATCAGCAAGGTCAAAAGATGTCACCATAAAGCAACATGAAGCTCGGGGGGTCTATAAAGAAGGACATAGTGCTGTTTCCAAGGTAGCCTGTCTTGGTCCTACCCCATGGTGCTACCGCCTATTTTACCTGCCCCCTGCCCATGTCTCCTGACACTGTGGTTGGCAACAAGTATGATCTGGGGGGAACCCAGCATCACATAGCCTTTGGTCTGTTCGGTCACACACCAGAGATGTGCAGGACCAGTGGGCAATAAGGAGTTGCCATGTGAATCCCGTCTAATCACCTACAACAGTCTTAATAATACAAAACAGTAATAAAATGTCTTCTCTACACACCTACACCCTTTTATTTACATCTCAAGAATATTAAAGATTAGGGGGAAATTAAAAAAGAAAAAATATGTGTGTATATCTGCTATACATGTATAATATATACAAAACAAACAAACAAAAAAACCATTGCCATCAATTCCAGCTGATAGCAACACTGTAGGACAGAGCAGAACTGCCCCTTACGGTTTCCAAGGCTGTAATCTTTACAGAAGCAGACTGCTCCTCTCCTGAGTAGCTACTGGTGGGTTCAAACAGCTGACCTTTCAGCTGAGCACTTAAGCACTGCACCACCGGGGCTCCCCATTTTATATAAAATATATAGTAAATACATGTACAGAAGAAATCATACTAAATTGTTGATGGCTGTTAATTTTGTAGAAGGGAACGGAATAGATTATGTGTGTGGAATTGACTGGCACAAACATTGTTGGGGGTTGCAGGGGAGGGGGAAGGTAGATTTTTCCTGTAGTCTATCTTTATATCTTTGATAATATACGAGAAGAATGTATTCCTGTATTGCTTGTGCTCCTCAAAAGTGAAAGCCAGTGAATGGATTATATCATTTACATCACATCATTATCTGAGATTTACTTCTCTCTCTCCCCTTAGCTTATTTGAGCATCCATTTAAAAAGGGTTGGTTTGCTGAAATTGGCTTTTCCTCTCTTCTGTGTGACCTGGGCTGAATCATATAATTAATGGGGGGCTCATTTTTCTCTTTTGTAAAATAAAGTAGTTGAGCAAGTTGGTGTCCAAAGACCCTTCCAGCACTGACACTCTGATTCTATTAGTGGTGCCTGTTATGGATTGACTGTGTCCCCAAAAAACATGTGTTGTAAATCCTAACCCCTAGACCTGTGGGTATAATCCCATTTGGGAATGGGTTTCCTTTGTTAAGAGGCCATATCAGTGTAGGGTGTTTTAAGCCAATCACCTTTGAGATATAGAAAGAGCAGATTAGGAAAGAGAAGCAAGCAAGCAGAGCTGGGGGAAGGTGGATGCCACACCACCTGAAGATCGCCAAGGAAACAAGCAACAAGGACCTTCCCCCAGAGCTGACAGGGAGAGAAAGCCTTCCCCTAGAGCCAGTGCCCTGAATTCAGACTTCCAGCCTCCTGACTATGAGACAATAAATTTCTGTTTGTTACAGCCACCCACTTGTGGTGTTGGTTACAACAGCTCTAGATAACGGAGGCACTGCCCTCAGTGCTCTGAGATGCAGGAAGTCATTCTATGTAAATGGTGAGGGTGTCTCTTTCCAGAGAAATAGACTAAAATTAACACTCCGTATTCTTACCTGAAATCCGCTATTTCAACCGAAGTAAAATAGCGACTCAGAGATGGCGATGAACTGTACACATCCGTGAGCTAAAACAAACAGCAGCAGATCAGACACACACATTACTGACAGATCAGACTGCATATTACCTTTAAAAGCAAAACTACTCCTAGACAAAGAGATTCCATTCCAGCCAGGAATTAACTTATCCAGAGGCTGTGTGGCCAGAAACAGTGCCTACCATAAACCACAACTCAAGTTAACACCCGTGTGAATGAATCCAGTAGGGACCAGGTGATGAGGCTGGGGTTTGTCAACATGCTATACATTGCATGGACACTTTGTGGTCTTAATGGTGAGACTGGTCAGCAGCTGGAGATCACACAGGCCCCAAGGACCATTGGAAGAAAAGAATACCCCAAAGTGGCTGTGGGGGACTAGCAGCACAGGCCACTCAGTGCCCGGTGGGTCATTGCAGAAACGCCACTTCTCTCCTTCCTCCAGAGCCTCCCGTCATCAGGAGAAACAGCCATGCTAAGCAAGAGGTATAGTACTTTCCCCTGGACCAAGGGACAAAGTGGAGCTGGCCTTCAATTGCAAAGATACAGAGGTTTTATTTTATGCAGGAAATATGCCAACATTAAAATAATAATAACGTCTGTGTGCCCATACCTAGATTTCATACCTTCACAGTTTGCCATAGTTAGTTCAGTTCTTTACTTTAAGAAACAGAATAAAGTTAAAGCTACTGCTGCACACTACTCCATTTCCTTTCCCTCCCTTCCCTAGAAGTAACCATTATTCTGAAGTCAGTATGTATACTTTCCACGCACACTTTTATAAATCTACTACTTATGCAAAAAATAGCAACATATATTTTTATTCAAATAAAAGGTACCATATTGTACACAATCTTCTATGCCTTGCTTTTTATCTTTCAAAATTGCATTTGAGATTTATCCATATTGGTATATCTAGATGGAATTCATTCAATCTAACTCCTATATAGATTTCATTATGTGACTATACTAGCTTGCCCATTTCCCTACTGATGAACATGTAACTTGTTTCCAGTTTTTCTCTATTACAAATTGTGCTAAAGTAATCATCCATGGATGTCTCTGTGCGTCTCTTCTCCAACATGTAAGAGCTTTCCCCTGGTATGTACCAAGAAATGGAATTGTTGGGTCCAACGGTAATGTAGGTGCATGTTCAACTTAACTACCAATACCAGCTGCCGTCTAGTCAACTACAGTTTAACTAAATATTGCTAAATCGCTCTCCATTTTACCTTCCTATCAGCAATGTAGGAGCCCTGGTAGCACAGTAGTTAGGATCTTGGCTGCTATACAAAAGGTTGGCAGTTCGAATCCACGAGCCGCTCCTTGGAAACACTACGTGGCAGTTCTGCTCTGTCCAGTTGGGTCGCTATGAGTTGGAATCAACTCGACGGCAACAGGTTTGGTTGGTTTTATCAGCAACGTAACTAACTAACTAACCAGTTGCCATGGAGTTGATTCCAGCTCATGGCAACCCCATGTGTGTCAGAGTAGAACTGTGCACCACAAGGTTTTCAGTGGCTGGTTTTTCAGAATTAGGTTGTCAGGCCTTTCTTCCAAGGCACTTCTGTATGGATTCGAACCTGCAACCATTCAGTTAGCAACGGAAGAGTTAACCATTTGCACTACCCAGGGACTCCATCAGCAATGTATAAGTACTCTCTTTCCTATAACCTTGTCAGCACCTACTATTATCAGATATGAAAATTTTTGCCAATCTGATAGGTAGAAAATGGTGTTTTGGGTCATTCTAATTTGCACTATCTTGTGTACCAGTGATGTTGAGCATGTTTTCATGTGTTTATTAATTCTTTGGGATTTCTCACTCTGAATTGCCCATTAGTTTCCTTTTTTTCTCCTGGGTTCTCTGTCTTTTTCTTATTTTTCTGAGGTAGCTTTATATTCTCGGTACTAGCCATGAGTTTTATGTTACAAATATCTTCCCTCAGGTCTGATTAGTCTTTTCATCGTGTTTCAGAGATGTGAACCCTAAACTAGGAGTACTCCAGGAACTCATTTACATTGTTTTTTTTAATTTACATTTGAAGGTTACATTCCTTGTTCTCCAGCAGATGGGCTCTAGCATTAATCAGGAGGACAGTGCAGCAATGTGGTTACATCAGCAGGGGCTCAGCTCTGCGGCTGAGGGGGCCATGGCAAGGCATCTGAGAGTACCACCAGACCCACTCTTGCCCCAGCCTAAAGCCTTGGCCCTGACGTTGTTCTAGAAATTTCTCTGGCATCCACAGGTACCCTTGTGTTGAGACAGGGGTGCCCAACAGCAGCTATTGCTGCTTAGCACTCCATTACTGTATCCAGTAGCAAGCAGGAGGACGTACCAAAAATGGAAGTGCCTGAGAGGAGTTCTGCCCAGCTTGTCTCCCAACCAATTCCAAAGGAAGCCGCACTTCCAGCAATACACCCGTACTTAATTCAGCTGGCTGACATTCTAATCTCTCAAAGGTGCGCAGAGAGAATTAGAGCACTTACCATCTGTCCTTCTGCAATCTTGTCTTTACTGTTATAGTCTTTACAAGAACCTGACAGAACAGGCATTGATATCTTTCCCCTTTTTACTGATAAAGAAAATGAGGTTCAGAGAGGTTAAAGAATCTGCCCAAGGTCACTCGGCTAGCAACTGGTGAAGTCAAAATTCGATACCAGGTCTTCTTCTTGTTAGCTGCTGTCAAGTCAGCCCCCAACTGATGGCAACCCTACACACAGTGGGACAAAATACCCAGTACTGCGCTATCCCCATAAATTGTGGTGAATTGGACCTCTGTGATCCACAGAGTTTTCATTGGCTGATGTTTGGAAGTAGATCACCAGGCCTTTCTTCTAGTCTTAGTCTGAAAGCTCCAGTGAATCCTGTTCAGCATCATAACAACACACAAGCCTCCACTGACAGAGAGGTGGTAGCTGCACATGAGATGCACTGGGCAGAAATCGAACATGGGTCTCCCACATGGAAGGTGAGAATTCTACCACTGAACCACCACTGCATCCCCAACCCCGGCCTTATGCACACCAAAACCTAGCTTCATCACATTTTACCACACTATCCAGTGAGGATGAAGCAATGAAGGAAAGTGTCTCCTTCTGAAGATCAAGGAAGAAAGAAATACGAAAGGATAAGAACTTTGTGAAAAAAAAAATTACCCAGTTATTGTAGTTCTTGAGCCCCAGAGAAAAGAATGTTGCCAACAGACCAGGCCAATACTCACATAGAAAACTCCAGGGTTAGGAAAGTGGCTTTCACAGTCTACTCAGAATGGCAGAGAGGAGACTGAGGATGCTATAGAGCGGAACTTTTTAAAGCACTAACCAATAACAATAATAATAATAATGTCTCTTTCTTTTAGATTGAGTTTATTATGGCAAGAATCATGTCTGTCCTTCCTCTCTCCCTCCTTTCCTTCCTTTATTTATTTTAAAGGCCTAGTACTGTGCTTTGCACATAGTGGACTCTCAGGAAAATTTTAAAGTTAGCTGATTAATTAATGCTATGACAGAGCCCCTAAAAAAATAAAATACTTAGGAATAAATCTAATCAGGGATGTAAAAGACTTACACAAAGAAAACTACAAAACACTACTGCAAGAAACCAACAGAGACCTAGATAAATGCAAAAACATACAATACTCATGGATAGGCAGACTCAACATTGTGAAAATGTCAATTCTACTCAAAACAATCTACAATTACAGTGCAATTCTGATCCAAATACCACAGCATTCTTTAACTAGATGGAAAAACTAATCATAAACTTTATATGGAAAGGAAAGAGTCCCCGGAGAAGTAAAGCATTATTGAAGAAGAACAAAGTAGGAGGCCTCGCACTACCTGACCTCAGAACCTACTATACAGATACAGTAGTCAAAACCGCCTGGTACTGGTACAATGACAGACACATTGACCAATGGAACAGAATCGAGAACACAGATGTAAATCTATCTACCTACAGCCATCTGATCTTTGATAAAGACCCAAAGTCCCTCAACTGGGGAAAAGGCAATCTTTTCAACAAATGGTGGTGGCAAAACTGGATGTCCATCTTTAAAAAAAAATGAAACAGGACCCATACCTCACACCATACACAAAAATTAATTCAAAATGGATCAAAGACCTAATATAAAACCAAAAACTATAAGGATCATGGAAGAAAAAATATGGTCCAAAGTAGGGGTCCTAGTATACAGCATAAACAGGATGCAAACCATAACTAACAATATACAAACATCAGAAGATAAGCTAGATAACTAGGATCTTCTAAAAATTAAACACTTATACTCATCAAAAGACTTCACAAAAAGAGAACCTACAGACTGGGAAAAAAATTTGGCTACGATGAATCCGACAAAGGTCTAATCTCTAAAATCTATAGGAAAATCCAACACCTCTACAAAAAAGACAATCCAGTTAAAAAATGGGCAAAGGATATGAACAGACACTTCACCAAAGAAAACATTCAGGTGGCTAACAGACACGTGAGGAAATTCTCGTGATCACGAGACATTAGAGAAATGCAGATCAAAACTGCAATGAGATACCATCTTATCTCAACATTACTGGCACGAATCAAAAAAACAGACAATAACAAATGCTGGACAAGTTGCAGGGAGATTGGAACTCTTATGCACTGCTAGTGGGAATGCAAAATGGTACAGCCATTTTGGAAAATGATATGGTGTTTCCTTTAAAAAGCTAGAAATAGAAATACCATACGATCCAGCTATCCCACTCCTAGGAATATATCCTAGAGAAATAATAGCTGTCACACGAATAGACATATGCACACCCATGTTTGTTGCAGCATTATTCACAATAGCAAAAAGACAGAAACAACTTAAGTGCCCATCAACAGATGAATGGATAAACAAACTATGGTACATACACACAATGGAATACTACACAATGATAAAGAACAATGATGAATCTGTGAAGCATCTCACAACATGCATGAATCTGGAGGGCATGATGCTGAGCGAAATAAGTCAATCACAAAAGGACAGATACTGTATGAGACCACT